TGTGCTGTCTTAAATCTTATTCCTGAAACTCTCTCCGAGCAAACTCCTTTGGTCTTAAAAACGCTTCAAATTATGTAAATTCCAACTGCTGACACACCTTTGAAAAACTACTTCTAGTTTATCCTACATTCCACAATCCTTTTCCACATTTCCATAAATGTCTAACCTTCTTTAGGCTGCAATCCTATACCCTCTTACCTGGTAGGAAGTCCCATTAAACGATTAGACTGCGTAGAATTGCACTGTTGGTAACCGAACTCTGAAGAACTTCTCTTTGATATCCTGCTGACTATCTCCTCCGTCTTTCTAAAACTCCAGAATAAAATATTTTTGTAAGTTCACTCAAATTATTAGCAACTTAACTTAGCAAAACAAAATTTCCTGCTTGATCATTTTTCATGTTGCAACTGTACTCCTTTTACTATGAAATACTGACCATCCTCTAGTCTCACACTCCAAATTTATGCTCTGCTTTTATTATCTTTTTTATGTTAACTATTGCCCCTTTCCTTAGCTCAGAAAGGGCAGAGATTTGCTGGTAGTACAGGAGGTCCAGAGGTAGCTTGAGCAAACTCCATTGAAGACAGGGAGAGGGAAATTATTTCCAGAAGCAGAATAAAGTAATAAAGTAAAATAAAGTAGCTAGCCAAACTGCTAAGGAAAGTGTGTCTTTTCAAATCATGTTGAAATAATTTGAAGGCTTAGTGTCTTAGAAGGCTTAGTGTCTTTGGGCACAGGGAACATAAAATTTTATTATATTGAGGAGCAGTTTCTGCAAAGATGCACATTGGTACATAGAACCAGCCAGGTCACTATGGAATAAAGTTAGCCCAAAGGAGTTGTGTGACAGAAATTTATTTATTTTATTAAATTTATATCTCACCCTTCCTTCCAAAGGAACCCAGGAATATAAAAACAATGGCAAAACTTAGTATTAGGAGATATTTGTTTCCTTTTAGCTTAAATATATTCTGTAGGTTTTGCTTTTTGAAAGACAGAGGAAGTGACACATGATAAACCTTTCACAGCAGGGGAAGCCGGTATGGTTCCTGGTTGTTAAGAACTGTAGTCCAGCAACATCAGCAGGTCACCACATTAGGTAGCTCATTAGTTACCTCTATTTTGCACTTTATGAAACTATGATATTGTCCCTAGGTTACTAATAGTTAACCTAGATGTACTTAGCTAGGTTTTCTAGAAAGACAAGTGTCTATAAATCTCGTAAACATTATTAAAATAACTGTAAAGGTAAATCTAAACATACTCTATCTGTCTATCTGGCCTCAGAAAATCCTTTGAGCCATCAGATCTGTGTATAACACTTTATAGAAGTATCCACAATCAGTTCATGGTTTTCATCTTTGGCCAGATATTCTATTCACAATAACATAAACTGAGGCAATACTAGGCAAGAACATTGCAATATACCTTAGATGGAAGTAATACATGGCAATGTTGTAAATCTGCATCTTTTATTATAGAATCTACAAAAAGAAAAAGGAAATCTAGGATTAACATTTGGAAAAGTATTTTGTTGGTCCACCTTCATGCAAGATAATCTTCACATACAATCCTCATTCTTTGAAACTTCAGTGATTAAATTCATCCTTTTTTAAGAGTTGAATTCGTATTTATTCAATACCATTTTAATAAATTATTATCAGCTTCCTGAAAATCCTTACTATTTTTAAATTTTATTTCTTAGACCTTATTTTATACAACCTCTGTAGCACAACTTTTATATCAACCTCTGTAGCACAACTTGTACAGCACTGACTCGAATTAAAGTTGTAAGCAGTCAAAAATTTGGGCCAACATCAAATGTTACACTAAGAACTAAGCAACTGCCACCAACATGAGCTGTTACTACTGTATGTAGTTAGTAACTTGCAATGCTATTTTTCTAGAAATAGAATTGCCAGAACTCACCATGAACACATCCCTTGTTCTCTTAAATGGTAATGGCACCCTCCTGAGATGTGCCAGAACTCACCCAAGAGGTGCCAGAACTGAGTTCCTCCTGAAAAAGAGCCCTGGTAATTTGACATTTCTACATATACCTTGTCAAAGAAGAAGCTAGGTTAAGACATCACATTCCCCCCTTTCTTTTCCTCCTTTCCTCTCACTCCAAATTAGTAACTCAGCAATTTATACTGCAAACTCCTTGTGCTAGAATTTGAAGAAGTATAAGAAGCTGTGCACACCAAGACTACAGTGCTGTAAATAATAGCTTTCTCTCTCAGCTAAATGTTATCCTCCTAGCATGGCAATTTTTAAGCATTTTGCAATTTGCTGCTTCTTAGAGGATCACACATTTTTCTAATGCTTCAACTGTCACATTGGAGGCTGTTTGAGAAGTTTCCAAATTACCCCAGCTTTGGAATTCAAGGTATGAAAGACAAAAAACCAGCTAGCTAGTGGATGGGCTCTGCTTGGTTTGTGGATGCTCTTTATGCTGCAAATATTTGTTAGTCTGGACACAATTGTTCTGGGTTTATTCAGCCTCCCAAACCTACAATGTCCAATTGACAAAATAAGGTAGATTGTGGGTCAACAAGTCACTCTTCCAAGCTGGGTTCTAGGTTCTAAACAGTGAGGCACACAAGCCTCTAGCTTCATACCAAGTGGGCTGCAATAGTATTTTGACATGGAACCCATGGGTCACCCCCCCCCAGACAGTTAAGCTACGCAAGGTGCCAGGCTTTTGAAAGGAGGTGCAAGGCTCTGGCAGGGTCTTAGAGCTCTCCCACCTCCTTCACAAAGCTGGAAAAGTGCTCAATATGCCTTAGGAAGAACTCGAGGACCCTGGCAAGAGCCCTTATGCCTCCTGCCCATAGCCTAGCCTAGCACCTCATTTACCCAGCTTTGGGAAGGCAGTGCAAGGACTGCCTCCAACATTCTCTATCAGTGTTTGTAGAGGAGCAGAATTTTAAATAGTAATAAAATTTCTGAAACTGGCAGGTTAGCTCATTTATATATTTCATAACTGAGATTCAACCACACTTCAATTTGGTTTACATTCATGCCAATGCAAAACTGATAAAATGTAACTGTTCTAATCGAGATGTGTATCAGGAAATGCTGATGTGGCACCTGTGGGCACACATGCTTTCCCTGGTGCCTCCCTTGCTGAAAACCCAAATTCTACTGGAGTTATCAGTACTGGTTGCAGTGTTTGCGTGATGCCCAAAAGAGTTTCTCCAGCTTGTTAAGTATGGCCCCTAAAGATAGGCAACAGCTCATACAATTTCAGTGAAGGGTAGGCTAAGAAGAAACCCAAGACAGGCAATCTCCCTACTGCATCTGAAACACTCCAGAAAAGTCTCTACAAACTGGGTGAACCGATGATAAAATGGCAAATCAGGTTCAATGCAGGTAAGAGCAAAATGACACATACTGGCCAAATCTATACACTAATGGCATCTGAATTCACTGCAGATAAATTCATGGAGGATGGACAAATTCATGTAGATAAATTCATGGCGACTAGCCATAGTGGTTTTATACTACCTCCATGGTTAAGAGGCAATAGATCTCTGAATATGAGTTGATAAACACGCCAAGTGGGGAGACTGCTGAATGCCCTTTGGCATCTGGGAACAAGATGCTGGAGTAGATAGATGCCCTATGAGGAATGGTTGAATGAATTGGGTATGTTTAGCTTGAAAAGAAGAGACCGAGAGGAGATAGGATAGCCATCTTCAAATATCTTAAACACTGTTGCATGGAGCGAGCTTGTTTTCTCCTGCTCCAGAGCCTAGGACCCAAACCAATGGGTTCAAGTTAACAAGAAGAGATTCTGACTAAACATCAGGAAGAACTTTCTGACAGGAACAGTGGAACAGACTCCCATGAGAGGTGATGGACTCTCCTTTCTTGGAGGTTTTCAAGCAGAGTTTGGATGTCTATCACATATATGATCTAGTTTTGATTCCTGCATTGAGGGTTAGAGTAGATGACCCTCAGGATCCCTTCCAACTCTACAATACTGATTTCATGATCCACCCAACAAAGGAAGCATGCTTTTTTCTTATTCAATCATTTTCCCATATGCAAATTTATTCAAAACTCATAGGGCAGATCTACAAGGGTTGGTTTACTTGAACATCAGCTGGGGGTGGGGGGAGAGATGACAAAAGCAGGACATGACAAAGGTTTAAAAAACTGTGCATAGCGTAGAGAAAGTGGCTATTATTTTTTCAAGGTTTTTTTTTTTTAATTAATTTCTTGGTTGAAGGTTCAAGATATGTAAATGAAAATATTTCTCCATCCAAATGTAATTGGCTACTACACCATTTGGTGAAGGCCAATAGCCAGGAAATGTTTTAAGCAGCAGCAGAAAAATACATGACAGAAAATCCACTTTCGAAGGCAGCACCTGTCAGAGTGCTAAATCCAGACAAACAGGGTTAGGCTAAGGTTACCAGATTTTTTTCAATGAATCCAGGGACACTTTTCAACTTCCTACTAAATAGATGGATTTTGTCAGGAGACTGATTTGTAAATCCGGGGACTGTCCCCGGGAAACGGCGACATCTGGTAACCTTAGGTTAGGCCAGTGGTAGAACAGAGAATTTACAGTACATGCAAAAGGAAATGCTGTTGACTTCCATGCGGGCTTTGGAAGCAAAACTGAACTTCCACTCTTGGCGTTTGCCAGGAAGCCTGCGGAACTCACATCCTCTGCCTTCTCCCTCTTAACCTCAAGTGTGGGTGGCCTACCACGAGGGTCGGTCCACGTGCTAACAACTTTTCCACGAAAAAAACGTAACGTGCGAGCTGGCCCTTAAAAAACACTTCTGTGATGTTAGAGAGGGGGGAAACTCCGTTTTAGATCATGTGTGAAGAACAAGCGTGTAGCGAGGTGCGTGTGCGTAATGCTCAGAGACGGGGTGGAGGGGGGTGGGATATCTGCCACGACTTACTCCGGCGGAGATAGGCAGGCACTACTATTAGCCGGGAAGAGCAAAGAAATGGACCCACTGCGGCGGAAAAGGTGAAAAAACCCCGACTCCTGCATGTAGGAATTTCCATCCAATATTGGCGCGTCCTCATCCGCCAGTCATGAAGCGGAGCCGATTTCAACACATTCTTTTACGCGGCAAGCACGGCTCTAGGTTTCCTCAGCAGCGGCTGCCGTTCCCGCCTTTCCCAGCCGGCCTGAGGCGGCGCCGCTGCCCGACCACAAATCCTCGCCGGGTAGGCCTCCCCTCCGCGCGCATGCGCCGTAGCGCCAGGAAGCAAAAGGCAGGCCTTTCTTTACCACCCTCGCCTCTCGCCCTTCGCTGCCTCCGAGACGACGACGCGGCCGCCGCCATGCCGAAGCTGAGCAAAGAGTCCAAGCAGCGCCTGCAGCACTTGTTCAAGGGCGGGCAGTTTGCCATCCGGTGGGGCTTCATCCCGGTAGTACTCTATCTAGGTCAGTCCTGAGCTGGGGAGAGCAAGTAGGTTGCCGCGGGCGGCTTGGTCACGGAAGACTCGGTATACTCTGACTTGAGGGCGAGCGAGAAGGCAGGCGGCGGGGGCGGGGCGGGGCAGCTTCCCGAACCGTTAACGGTCCGCTAACGGTCTTCCCGCCAACGGCTGGTTCGAGCGCGCGCGGCGCGTCTTCTTGGAACGCGGCGGCGATAGTGACGCAACCGACGAGTCACATGGCCGATTCCCCTCAGCTCCTCGTGATTAGCGGGGAGAGCGCCCTGTGGGGCAGAAGTGGCTTATTGCCCTTGTCCGCTTCCGTTCCCTGAACCCAAATTCTCCGCTTCACAGCTCACTTTAGCGCTGCTAGTTTCGGATTTAACCTAGAGAAAAGGCAAGCAGGCTGTATCGTGAAAGCCCTCCTGTTTTTTCTTTCCTTTCCTAGTACTCGTTAGAAGGCGAGCTTGTGTGAATATGGTGATAGTTCTTTCTAACTCCTGTGACCTTCAGTGTTTCCCAAACTCTGGTCTCCAGCTGTTTTCGGACAAGAATTCCCATCATCCCTGACCTCACTGGTCTTGCCCGCTAGGGATGATGGGAGTTGTAGTCCCAAAAACAGCTGGAGTCCCGAGTTTGGAAAACACTGCTTCAGACTGTCTGTGGGCGACACAACTGTTGGATGCTCTTGTGCACTGAAAGTTATAAACACCTTGCAAGAAGAAATTATTATATCCAGCAGTAAGCTGGGCTACACTTGTCTCTCTGGTGTGCTAGCTTTCTGCTTGAGTGAGCTGAATGGAGGAATTGGTGAATAATCACTGACAATCTCCCCACCCCAGTTTGCAAGGCAGACTGAAGTTGCTTATAAATAATAGTTTTAGCTTTCAGAATTCTGTATTTCACGATTATGTGAACTCCTAAATGTGTTTAGGCATGACACAAAGGTAAACATGGTTAAAATTGCTCACAGGTGTGTTCTTTCACTTGTGGTATCAGGAGTTTGTTTAGAAGTCAGCAGATTTCTGAAAACTAGAGGCCAATTTTTAGAATGTTCTTAGTCAGAATTTCCCAGTCCAAGCTCAATTAGTTCAGCAATGATTCTGTACTATGAAGTGTCATCGACTTCTTTTTCATTTGCTGGGAAAAATTATTCTATTATCCATGGTCCTGTTGTGCAGGACATTTCTTACTGAATTCCATTAACAATGCAGTAAAGTCCTATTTATTAGTAAGATCAGAGACTGTCTTTCTCTGTCTGGTGGATTTGGTGGGCAACATACATCATGCCACAAATAAGGACTGTTTTAGATGTCAGAGATACTTTAGAAGAGTATTCTTTCTTTAGAAGAGTATTTTTTCTTCCCAGGCAGATTATCAGTGCAATTCTAACTTGGAAGTAAATCCTAATACATTTAATGGGGCTTGCACTCAGGTAAGGATGGGGTTAGGCTTGCAGCCCAAGTCACCTGCTGGTGCAGAGGAGTGGGGTTTTCAATGTGTGTTGCTGACCATGCAATAGAATGGACCCCTTTCTTTGCACTTCTACTTGATGTGGGGTGGCGAGTACAGGAGTGCAGGAGACTGTATCAAAGTGCAATGTTATCTATTACATTACTGTGGCTAGTCATGTGTGTATTCTAGAAATATATATTATATGTAAAAGAGCAATAATATATTCATGATATAAACTGACAGGTACATTGTTTGTAACTAGGTTTTAAGAGAGGTGCGGATCCTGGAATGCCTGAGCCAACCGTTCTGAGGTATGTTTTCACTAGTTAATACCTCTGCAGAAATAATGCCTGCTAAAGGAGAAAATAGAAAATGTGCTTTGTGATTAACTTGGAGGGGAGAGTTTGAAACTTATGCTACAATCCTACACTCACTTACCTAAGAGTAAGTCCCATTCCATTTATACATCTAGGATTGCACTTACAGAAATATCACACAAATTACCGTATTTTGCGCCCCATAGGACGCACCGGCCCATAAGGCGCACCTAGCTTTTTGGGGGGGGAATAAAGAAAAATATTTTTATTTCCCCCCCCAGGCGCAGGGCTGGGGCGGGGGAAGCCCGAGCTTCCGCCGACCCCAGCCCCCAGAACAGGCTGCTCTGCGCAAGCCATGGGAGCCCTCCCGCGGCTTGCGCAGAGCTACCCGAAGCTCCGGCGCGACTGCTGAGCGCGCCGGGGTTTCGGGATAAGAGGCAGCTCCGTGCAAGCCGCGGGAGCCCTCCCCCGGTTTGCGCGGAGCTACCCGAAGCCCCGGCGCGACTGCTGAGTGCGCCAGGGCTTCGGGATAAGAGGCAGCTCTGTGCAAGCAGGGGGAGGGCTCCCGCGGCTTGCGCAGAGCTTCCTGAAGCCTGGAGAGGGAGAGGGGTCAGTGCACACCAACCCCTCTCGCTCACCAGGCTTCAGCGAAAGCCTGCCTTCGCCCCATAGGATGCACACACATTTCCCCTTCATTTTTGGAGGGGGAAAAGTGCATCCTATAGGGCGAAAAATACGGTATATTTTAACTGTTGCTATATTCTCATGTAAGGTGTAGGTCAGGATTTGGTGCTACCATTTTTTAATTTAAGGGACACACCATAAGAAGGAAATGTTCTATCTTTTGGTTGCTGACTTAAGTATATCATCAAGAGATATGACCTGATTTTGTCAAGTCCTCTTTCTCTTGGAATGAGCTTGCTTCAGTAACATTACAAACCAAGAACTGATAACCATCGAAGGATTTAAACACCGACAGCTTACACTGCTTGAAACTGAATTTTTAAAAAGGCAGTTTATGTTGGTTGTTGTTTGATCAATGTACAAGGCATAGGCCTTCTGTTTCATTTTGTTGTTGCCTGATGGCACTAATAAGGCCTCGTGGAAAATATGAGTGGTTACATGTTAACAGTTGGAATGAGGTGGAGAGTAGGAGCCTAATAAAACTAGACTAATAAAGCCTAATAAAAACTAATCCACTCTGAAGCCTAATAAAACTAATCCACTCTGAAGCCTAACAGAAACTTTTTTTTTTTTGCTGTTGCTGAGGCATGAATAAGTATAAAGTTTATGAATGACTACTAATGTTACTCCTACTGAGAGCAAGTCAATTTAAATCAGTGGACTTAAGTCCAATGATTTCATTGGGTCTGTTTTGAGTATGATTTAGTTGTATATCACCAGTCAGAATCTACCTTCCAGGTATTGGTGGACTCCCTGATATGAGTTAAAGTCCAACAACATCTGCAAGGTGACAGGTTCTCCACCTGTGTCCTATGTGATCTCAGAGGTGGTTAAAAAATTGCTGGTTTTGTGTGTGTGTGTGTGTTGTTTTTGTTTCTTGTTTTGTTTTAAATTCAAAACAAACCAGATTGGCAGAAGGACTTTACTTTCTTATAAAATTCTGGAAGTAATAGAAAAAACCATTGAAGCTTTTCATTAATTTCTCCTTGCATTTATGGCGCTTCTGCATGGTGACACTTTATTGTATGGATGCTACTGAGACTTGGCATTAATGTAACATTTTATCATTTAATATTCTACACTCTGCTGTCTGACTACTGTTTAGACTCCTGTAATTAAACTGTCATGTAAAATCCTATTGTCTGTTTAAAAAATCTGCAGGTGATCAATTTATTCAATTTTATGTCTTGTCATCTGCCTGTGAGTTTTTGCATTTATGAGATTTAAAAGATAAAATGCATCCGCTTCTTAATACAAGACTTTCTTGTATTATCCAGTATGTTTAGGATATACAATTAAATGCGACTTGTTCTGTTAAGTGAAGTGCATGATGCCCAAATTGGCTTTGTTGGATTGTATGCAGCATACACCCCCAATACACATGTACTTGCCAAGCATCCAGCACACTACGCACACCTGCACTTACATAATGTGCACATGTGAACACCCCTCCCCACACTCACTGCATATACAGCATATCTCCCCCATTTATTTATTTATTTATAATTGTGATGTGTCACACATATTTGAAATGGGCAACACATTTAATAAGTCTTTGTAGTAGTAATGAAATGGGTTGGGAAAGTAAGGGAAGAATGTGCTCCCCTTTAACTATTTTATATTTTTGTCAGTCCTTGGAATCTTGAAGGCTGCAACCAATGGATGGGCAGAGAGAAAAAATGGATGTGATCATTGTGTTTACTACTTTGGGGGATAGTTTAGTACCGTAATTGGGGTGGACACTGACAGTGAACTCTTATGTTTACTCAAAAACTGGGACTCAATGGGACTTACTCCTAGGTAAAATGGCAGCCTAAATACACAATATCATAAATTTGCTCGGGATTAAAATGAGTGTAAATGAGATGAAGCATTGTGAAGATGCCACCGATTTCTTGTTTGTGGCTTGAACCATATTATTTAGTACCTAAATAATCTTGCTGACTTTTAAAAGCAGAAACTGTCTTTCTAGCTATTATTTGGCCTTTCCAACCAGTCAACTAAGCTGAGTATCATAACTTCAGTCGCTTATTATGTTACATGTTTCATCTTTGATTTCATCCTGGTATGAGTGATAATAGATAGAATAATATCTAGAATTTTATTTCTAGAGTCCATGATGGATTGCCAGGTTCTCTTGAAAATAATAGTTGGGATTGTGAGCATTTTTGGAGAGCAGTGTAATATGGATAAGCCTTAATATTACTTGTCTGTGTCAATATAGGTTAGTTTCAAGATCAGTCATAATATTACAAACTCTTTAAGCCACCTCAGAATTGCACTGAAAGAATGTGACAGTATACTAAGAAAGAGAGAGAGAGAGAGAAACTAGAAGGCAGATAAAATACCCCCAAATGTATTCTACAGTCACATGAGTGTTAATTCCATCTTATATGGTTGGGTGCATTTAGCACTTTAAATATGATGGTGTTCCTAATGGCCACCTCAGTATCTGTTATGTATTGATGATTGAATTCAAAACTTAATCCAAGCCTAAACCCCACCTCTGTCACTGTTGGGTAGGCTGACTATCCCTCAGCTTCAGATGATTATCAGAGTGGAACTGAATAAAGTATCCCTAGTCTCTTCTAATGATTCTACATTTGCTCTGTTCTGTTAATTAATATGGCTTACTTGCATCTGCACTGGCTGACCTTCCACGGTTGAATACGTTATTGAGTGTGTAAAGCTGCAGCTCTGTACTCAATTACATAATAATTACAACATTGAAATCAACAGGACTTGCTTCTCATTAGACATGTATAGAACTGTGCTGTAGGTGACAAAGTTGTACTTTTTAGTATTTCTTGAAAGAGCTGTTCTGCTGGTAACAGCATTATAAGAGTTGTGATCAACTTAATTTTTTCCCCTTTTTTCTTCCTCCACCTCTCTTAGTCTACTATGGGGATGAAGGAGTTAACCACAGCATTCTGGAAGCCGGCTGCTGAGCAGGAAAAAAAGATGGAGATGCATGCATTCCAAAGGCTAGGAAAAACAACACTGAGCTATGCCACTGGCAAGCAGACTTCCCTGACAACATGGAATATGCTTACAACATAATGGAATTTCCATCTGTCTAATTTATTTGTGTTACACTTTCATTTTTTCCCTTTAGAATAAATATTTTGTCTGAAATTCTTTAATGAGGAAATCTAATTTTTGCAGGTCATGACACATGTTAAGACTCATTTCCCTTTACATCCAACTGCTGGATTTCATAGAATTGTTGGAAGGGACCCTAAGGGCCATCTAGTTCAACCCCCCTGCAGCGTGAGAATCACAGCCAAAAAATCCCAGACAGATGGCCATCCAACTTCTGTTTTAAAAAATCCCATGAGGGAGAGTCTACTATCTTCCGAGGTACTTTGTTCCACTGTCTTAACATCTCCTACAGTCAGAAAGTTCTTCCTAATGTTTAGTCAGAATCTCATTTCTTGTAATTTGAATGCATTGGGTTGAGTCCTATCCTCCGGAGCAGCAGAAACAAGCTTGCTCCATCTTATGTGTGACAGCTCTCCAGTTTAATGTGTTCAGGCTAAACATAGCCTTATTATTTCAACCTCATCTTTGTAGTCCTCAGACACTGGGTTGTTCATTCATGGGTTGGACAAAGTAATCTCTTTGGTGACACTACAGAGGAAAAATGCTGCATATGCATAATCAATAAGCATTATCTTCAACAATGCCCTCCTTTCCACATACCTACAATAATAGTACAGACAGTTGAATCTTGCCAAACCTTAGGCACTTCTGGGAGCCAGAGACTGCAGCTATGAAGCTACAGAAACATAGAAGGTACTGTTATTTTTTTTCACAAACCTAGCTTTCCTGGCAAGAGTGGGGTGGTGATATATCTGTTTGTTAGTTGTGGCTTGGAGAAAACACCGTACTTCCAAAAGAGTCCTGGCTACTTGTGAGGAAGCCATTCCTAAGTGATAAGGAATGTACCAACCAATAAGCCACTGTTTAGTTTTCCATTAGAATGTGTTTGACGTAATATAGGGGGCACCCCTGCGTGTTCGTCCTTTGCACGCACAGAGAAAGAAAATCAATAATGGCTTTCCAGTGTCCAACATTTCAAAAGCTTACTGGGTCAGCCCTTCAGTTTACATCAGTGGCTAAGCAGAAGCTTGGAAGGTCAGGAAGATTTGATCAGACTCCTGTTAGTCTTGGCAGTGGCAGAAAAAGAAGAATACAGTGTTGACGTGAGTGAAACCCAGTGCCCTAATGGGGGATGCAGAGCACTGCTCCCCAGTCAGTGTACTGACAATTTGTTGAACAGAGATGGGGCTCAAAAAACACCCTGCCTTCCCCCAAAGAATAAAGGGGGTAACTAGCTGAGGAACCAGTTGTCAGAATCTGCTAAGATTTTGATAAGGTCTGAATATGTACATGCCTATACCTATCCACCACTTTGGTGATGACCTCTGGCTGCTGACTTGCCAGCAGGCAAGATTCCCTTAGGTCTAGTGTTCCCAGTATAGTGTCTTCAGACACACCCTTTAGCACTCAACAAGGCCCTCTGCTCCTGGTTTCAGTTTGGGATGGGGGTGGTGGGAGTGTCTTTTTGAGGTTGGGTGTTTCCTGTCTTTTTGTTCTCTGTTTTATTTGTGGAGGGATGTAGGTGATTTGCCAGTTGTTTGTGAGAGGATCTAAGCATAAAGCATTGGGGACCTTACTATGTCCAGACTCATACTTGACATCCAATAAAGACTGATATGTCAGTACATTTAACTCCATGATACATGTTCTTTCGGTTCCCAGAAAAGTCCAGGATGCAGAAGTTAAGAGTTGGTGTACGTAGCCAGATGGCAGTTCTGAGCGAGTCTGACTATTTATTTCCTTCTTGCTATGCCTGAAGAGCGCCCAGTAAAGCAGAAAGATGGCGAGAGGAAGCTGCGTCAACTTTGTAGTGCAGTTAAGAGAATGAATTATGAAATATCTGATCCAAGCTTCACTTCAGCTCTGGATTTGCTGAGTGGCTTTGGACACGTAGCTGTTTCTCGGCTTCAGCTGCCCACCTATAGGTTGGATATTGTAATACAGCATTGCCTATCAGGGCTTTTCCAAGGATTACTATGATAATGCATTTGGATTTAAGTATTTAGAAAAAGCACGACATCAAGAGATCTAATGAGGAAGCGGGACAAAGATGAAAGACTTACTTGGTTCAGTGGTACTTACTCCCAAAAGTGTACAGAGAATTTGAGTCTTAAGTATTATTAATTCACTCTAACTGCTAATGTCTATTAGGTAGGCTTGTTACTTATATAACAGAAATACCAATGATCAAAGTGCATACAGGCACTTCTTTCCAACACGCAGCAGCCGCCCAAACAAAACCCACTGCTGTCTTTTAAGAATATCATCTTCCCCCTTTGGGAAAAGAAAATCAGTCTTCCATCATGCCTTTATTGTGGCTATCAGAAAAGGAAACATCAGCCAGGCTCCCTTCCATTGTTCCTACATTCAGCTTCTGAGAGCCTGTTACCACTCTGCATCTGCCATTGTGCAGACTACCAGAGGGATGTGGGGAAGCAGCCACCCCTGAACTGAAGCAATTTGTACAGTGGAGCGTAATGAGCTCTAACTCTCTAACTAGTACCTGAATGGGAGTGCTGTTTCAAATCTCAGTAGCAGCAGCATGAAGGGGTGGATAGGTGGTCTGCAAACTAAAACATGCAAAGAAGAAGCAACATAAGGTAATTTAAACAAATTGCTACTTTTTGTTACTATTTCTTTTGTTGATGTAGTTTTCCACTGTTATTTGATGACAGGTAAGCTGCCTTAGGATGTGAAAATGCCGAAAAGTGGAATATAAATCAAAGGCACAAAATTGAGTGTGAGCAATGTGATATATGTAGTTTGGCGCGCGCACGCGCGCGCACACACACACACACACACAAATTCAAATTTAATCTTCCTCAAATAAAAGCAAACATAAAAATATGAAGAGCCCTTGCAGTTTGAAATGCATCTGGTCTCCAGCATTAATTTTAACCATTACTGTAGTGCGCTCTCTCTCTCTCTCTCTCTCTATATATATATATATAGAGAGAGAGAGAGAGAGAGAGAACCAATATAAATATGGAGCCCATCCCCTTGAAAAACAGCCCACTGAAGATTCTGTATGTTCACTGGCCCCAGAATGTAAAATGTCGTGAAGAATGGAGTAGAGTATATTGGAAGAACGGAAGCACTCTGTACTGCAACCTTTTGTTACAGCTCCCATTGGTAACATTACATCTCATGTTTAACATTTTCTAGCTCACTTTTGGAATGAACAAAGGTTGAAAACATTTTGATCTACTAAAAGTAAAGGACATTTGCAGTAAACCTGGTATTATCCCATAATACAGATGCAGTGCAATGAAGTAGTTTTTTAATAATTTATTTGGTTTATTCTCCATAAGGCCCCAGGGTGGGTTACAACAGTACAGTATAAAATATTAAATATTAAAATCAGTTAAAGCAGCAATAAAACAGATTGTCTTTTACTGTAAACCCATACAAATTGTTTTTGCTTTCTAAAAATATATTAAATATACTTTTCAAAAAAAAATGGTATAATTTAGCTGTATATTCTCGATCCATAATTTTCAAGTAAAATATTCAGTGAATACTGAAATGGTGTGGTGCTGACTCCCTGTTAAAATTGGCTGTGAGTCTTGGGAGTAAAAATGCATACACAAATTTAATAAATATATTAAATATCATAAATAACTGCAAATAGTATATTCCCAATTAAAGAAACAACATAGTGAGTTCTCAAAAAGGAGAACAACATGAGCCTCTGCTTCAACTGCAGATGTTTTGAGAACTGATGTGCCCAGTTTTTAAAAGGCACCAGAACTCCTGGCCTCTCATAAGACACGGAGAGCCCTTGTAGTTTTCTGCATAAATAAAGTAAAATCTTGAAGTATGAAGTGTTTGATAACTGTAACAGTCCAGCCTCTGTGTTCTCGAAGCTTTGCGGCAAGAATTTTCTGAGCGGCTGGATCCGGCAAGGTCACAGTTTCAGGATTGTTCATCTGTTAAGGGGAGGAAATAATAAAAGTTGCTGGTTATGATGCTGTTTTTTTTAATCAGACAAATGGATTTTACTCATCTTCAGGCAAGATGCTAGTTGGAAATATTTACAGATTGCAGAACCCTTTGTAACATGCAATGCTATATGTTTAAGTTCTCTTAAGAAAAGGGATTGATTGTGAATCCACTCTTGGAACTGTAGTCCAAGGAGAATAGGGGTCTCTAACAACTCGTAGCACCTTTAACAAGCTACAGTTCCCAGGTTTCTTGGGGTTAAGCCGTGACTGTGGAGGTTTTCTATAATCAAGCGGTAGATGAATTTTATTAAATAAATAAATTATAATGCTTTTAAGAGCATAATGCAGATCACTCAAAGGAACAGTTATGCATACACTCTTCTCATCCAGAACCCAAAATATTATTGGATACAGTTTCTCTCTCAGTATTCTCTATCTTAAACCAAACCGTTCACACACCAACTTTTGTAAGGGGCAAGTTCTGCATTATAACCCCTAACCCTTTTTCCTATATAGGAATTATTTTGGGTAATGGTAATAACTCACTGTTTCAAAAGTTAAGGACCTACTTAAATTGTATTTTAAAATACATCTATAGAACTTTACACATAGACGGGTCCTAATTCTACATGGAGGGGGGAATTGAAAAGTCTTCCCCCCCCTTTGTCTATCAACCTAATACATAGTATTATGTATTAATAAGGCTTATTGTTACAACTCTCATAAGCATAACTAACAATGTTTTTTTAGGTTATGTATTTGTTTGTTTTTCCATTGTAAACCACTCTGTGATCCTCGAATGAAGGGTGGTATAGAAATTTAATAAATTAAATAAAAAGAAGTAAAACACCAAATGGGAAAAAATGTTTCCATTTAGTGCTTATAGTGGTATGTGTCCTTAACCAGAGTGCATTGTGTGTTGTCTTCCAGAACTTCATAATCTTCTCACTCCATCTCCTTATCTCCCAGAACATTTATGTAGGATTAAATGTAATAGAACTTACCATTGATCTCAAGGTATTTGCCAGGTGCTGTGTGCTTGGCCGAAAGGTTTCTGCAGTCTCAACAGAAGCCTCTTCTAAATATTCAAAG